GCCCCTCCCCTAGCCCTCCCTGGAGCCCCTGTCTTTGCTAAGCTCCCACGCATGTACTGTAGCAAGTCAGGCAGTTTTGGTTCACAGGGCCTTGCTCCAGCCCGGTCTGCATATCAGCCATGGGACAGAGTCTGATTTCAATGCAGCTATGCCGATTTACCCTGGTTTTGGGTCTGCCCCTATATTTACATTAACTGATATCTCTTCAGATGAGTACCAGGCATCACCCATCCTCCCATTGGATTGGGATCAAATCCTGCTCACACTGAAGTCAATGGGAGTCCTGCCATGGACTCCGGGGGTAGCAGGATGGATCCGGGCAATGCTACCGCAAGCCTTTCCCAGCCTGCTCCAAAACAAAACCCACACATTGGGTCCAGTCCAAACTCGCCTCCTGCCGGGGTTTGGCTTAATTGATAATTAGAGAGGGGGAAAGAATTCCTCTGCATCCTTTCCCCTGGTTTGACTGCTCCTCTCAGGCTGCTCAGCCCACACCCTAGGTCCTCAGTCTCAGAGATCCTCTTCTACCTGCTTTGTACCCAGGTGGGGGAAAGGGCCACTTGCCTCATTGAGTTGGCAGAACTACCGTAACCCTTTCCTAGAGGGATCAGGGCCTGCGACAAGGGGCAGAATGATTTGCTTTGTTATAAACTGCTTTATATTCTTACAACTGGGGGTCGGACCTGATGATCTGTTTAGGTCCCTTCCGACCCTAAGCACTATGATATACTATGATACTAACCCCTTCACCAGCTGGATCCAGGGGGCTTTGCCCACTAAAACCCTGACCCTATAGTTGTCTCTCTCAGGGGAGAGAGTGGGGTGGCTCTAGGTAGGACAGCTACAGGCTCAACCTCAGATCACTTGGAAACAAAAAAAATGTCCCTTCTGGGATGGGACACAGCAGCTGCCTTACAGCGCACAACCACGCCAGGCTACTTTGACTCCCCGCAAAAGCCACTGCCTGTGGGATTGAAACCAGAGGCAGAATGGAGATAATTCAACCTGGGAAGTGGCTGGGTCCAGGGCTAGCTCTGCTGCTTCACAATAGCCTGGAGACTTCAGTGATCGTGAACCATCAGGACTTCCCTGTGGATCTCCCCAGCAGCAAGACACCCCCAGAGCACAGGATTCAGCACTGACCCAGAGCAAGGAGACTCTAATGAGCACCTCTGCCCCATCACAGCAATACAAGGAGCTGTGCTGGGATCTTCAGTTTCAGAGGTAGGGCATCACTTACTGAGCAACCACCACCATACCCTGCAAGAGCCAGAGCCTCCCTTGGGCATCCCCCGCTCCCAAATTCTGACCAAGCTCATCCTACTTAGCTGGGAGCAGCCAGCAAGACAACAGCCTAAAGACACTTGCTAAACTTCACACAACAGTGGTCCATTATCAGGGCCCGAATTATTCAGGGAGATCTGTTCCCCTAGACCAGGATCAGGACGTTAGATCCCTCAAGTCACCATCCATCCCCTGTCCCTGAGTCCAAGTCCTATGACCCCAGCTGACTTCCTGCCCTTTGGGCGGGGGGCTGGACTCGATGATCTTCCGAGGTCCCTTCCAGCCCTGATGTCTATGAAATCTATGAAAGTCCCAAAGATGAACTGGGGGAGGCGGGAGCACACAGGGTTATTAAGTGCTTCTGGAGCAAGAAGCAGTCTCTTCTCTAACCTTCTGTCGCAGACGTAACCTTGCAGTAAGCTCCTTTCCATGGCAGGTACAGAGCTATCAGCTAGTGGCAGCTGCAAACACTTAAAGGAAAGGGGGAGGGGAGATAATCAGGTCCTCAGAAATGTAACTAGGCCCTGCCAAAAGAAAGGGGAAGAAGAGACTTCCCTTGCCAGGTGCTGCAGGTCAGGACAGGGCTTCTTGCCACCACTTTTGCTGCTCTCAGCAGAGCTGGGCAGTTTGGGGCCAAACAGCTGGGCCAGGCCCAGAGACGGAGGAGAAAGTCTGGGACCTGCCCTCTATTCCCCAGCCATCGTCCTCCGCTTCTTCTCACCCCCTGGAGCTCTCTTTTGTCCTCTCCTGCCTCCTCTCCCCATTGCCCTTCCCAATTAGCCACCCAGATTTCTATAGTAGGAGCTCCTCAGTTTCAACTTGAGCAAGTCACTACACAGAGGGCTGCTGGCCAACATGACAGACCCATCAAAACATGGCTCCCTTGGCTTCATGAGCTGAGCAGGGGGCTCTGAGGGAGACAGAAGTGCTGGTGTAATCATTCATCCTACATGGTCTTCACAATGGTCAGGTGGAAATAAGTTAGTGGTACATCATCTCTCCCTTAAAGGGCCCGTTCCAAAGCCTTTTGGCTTCCCTGGGTCTTGGATTGTGCCTCTAGGCTGGGGAATCAACCCCCGACACAGGAAGGGAGGTGATACTGGTCCCAAGGAAGGCTCCTTGAGGGCTACAGTAGGGCAAACTCCAGTTATCTCCCAGTAGTTGGTGGAATAGCAAGCAAGGGGAAGTCCAACAGGAAGCCCAGGGAAGACGTGTGCAGCAAGCCACATGGATTGTGCCCATGCTCACGCAGTGAGCCCAGCTGCTGCAAATGCTTGGCAGCCAGGCCTGGCATGAACTGGCACTCCCCTGAGCTGGTATGGACCCAGCACCAGGAGCTGCTGCCCTGCCCCCAGCAGAGACCCCTCGCACTGGTTGCCACTGTCTGTCCCTATGCCATATTCAAGGTAGACTTAGCCCCAGGCCTCTACAACATCAGTCTCCTTCCCAGCCTGCACCCAGTGGGGAATTGGACTCAGATGTTGCACAGGAATCTTCCTAGGTCTGCAGTGCTGGGTAAGAAACCCCAGGAGAGCAGGGAACACATAGCTGGAGTGGAGCCAGATGGTGGTGGGGCATGACAGGGGAGTGAACTGAGGTTGTGGAGTCAGCTTGGGTTGTCTGGAGGTTCGAGCTCTTGCTTCATCTACCTCAACCTGTTGGCCCAGCTGTAGCCAAAACCCTTTCACTGTTGAGCAAGAACCCATGTTGGGTGCCCTTCTCTGTGCCTACCAGCAGTGATGGTGCCAGTACCCAGCCCAGGGATGCCTTTCCACGTGGTCACAGAAAACACAGACAGAAATTACATTTGCCACATGATCGGATCCTGGAAAGCGCTTTTAAGCTGTGCCCTAACAGAAGAGCAAAGCTGCAGAGTGCTCCAAGCCATGCGGCAAATTAACCCTCATTGTATGAGAGTTCAGAGGAAGGCACTCCAAAAGGGAGCACCTTCATTAACTTCTGTTTGATCCCAGCAGCTAGGCTGCTGTATCGTAGCCCGGCCCCCAGTGCTGTCTCAGGATGGGAGGGGGAGAAGGCAGGGTTGCAAGGTCTGTTCTGGGGTTTGCCCAGCAGTGTTGGAGGGAGGGGCGGGTGGACTGGAGCCCTCCAAGGTGGGAGGCTCCAAGCCAGCAGCCCCCTCCACCTCCAGCAGACTGGGGAAACCCCAGAATGGACCTCCCTCCCCTTGCCTTCTCCCCCTCCCATCCTGAGATAGCACTGGGGGCTGGGAGAGGGAGTCAGGGCTAGGGGAAGAGGCTGCAGAGATGCAGCCTCTCTCCCTGGATCAGGTCCAAATTGGAGCTCAATCCCTCCACACTCCCGACCCAACAGCTAACGCCTGTTGCATCGGGAGGATCGGTCTAACTCATGGCACTTTTTGTGAAGCGGTATGAGTTAGACTGGGGAGCTGCACTTCTGTCTGCGCCTACAGGGTAACAAGGAGCACAAGTTGTGCACATGGATGGTGATCACCCCCTGTGTGCTGGGAGTGGTTTCGCTCCCTGAACACACCTGCTGGGGTCTTTCTGGATGGCAATTGCCCAGGTTGCAAGTTTCAGCTCCTCAGTCACTTGAGTACTTTGGGGAAATTCTCTCTCTAAGAGGTGCTAACCCCTCAGATAAGCCAGAAGCTAGCAGGCCTTTTTAAACCAGTTGGGGTGCCTATTTGCTTGGATGGCTCAAATAGAGCTGCGTACAGCCAACAAGCAGTCTCTCGACTTGGTTTCTAGTCAGCTTTACATTCTGTTGGGATTATTTATAATACAATAGCGCAGCCACAAGACAGGCAGACCACAGGTCCAAGCCACCGGCAACTCTTCAATTTATCACCTGCTGCTTATCTCAGAAAAGGTTAGTGGCTCCTTGTACCCACATGAGGCAGATTTATCCCTCATTCGAGGATAAAAGGCAACACATGAACTGCACTAATGCAGCACATACAGCCCCATGCTGAATTCTTTGCACTATAGGAACCACGTAGCACAATTATTTCACCTAAGGATGTGGCTGTCGCTAAGGCTCAGTGGGTAACGTAGGGCCCCTGAACATCACTGTAATAGCACCTAGAGTCCAACACCGAGATCAGGGCCTCAGCCTGCTAGGCGCAGCACATACGTACAAGAGAGACAGTCTCCGATTTAAATCTTCCAACCTCCCCGGACAGAAAAAAGTACTGTCCCATTTTAAGACCTCAGTCTCTGGTCCTCAGGTTTTCACTTGCTTGGGACCTGGGATCCAGAGCCAGTTTGAGAGGCTTGGTCTAAGTGACATCTCAGTTACAGAGCTCCCGTGTGTGCCAGAGGCGCAAACTGAAGTCATGTCAACCCAATACCAGTCCAGCACCCCATCAAAGGGCCACTTGCTCACCCCCTTGCGTGTGCTAGCCTAAAAGTAACAAACACCCATCTGCTGCATTCAAGTCAATTAGTGGAAACTATGCTGATTAACACTGCAGCTCGAAAAAGTGCTACCGTATGACAAAGCCCAAACCAAGCCCTGAACTCAGTGGCAGGGGCCTGGCTGTTCATTAAGACAATTGTTCATTTCTAATTTCCAAAGCTATCTCCTTTTAATGATGACCCCGCTGCGATCTCCCATGTAACCAAGAGGCAACAGCACGGAGCAAATTAGCATTTCTTCCTGACTTCATATATTTGCATAACAAACAAGGTGTCATCCCATGTAGTCACATCTTAGGCAGCAGGGCCATCTCGGGTCCTGGAAAGGAGGGTTACGTTTGGTAAAGCTAAGGGTATTTTTATTTTTTAAATTAAGTTTGACAAGGAACTCCTATTAACATAGGCTCCCTGTGATTTCTGCAGCGATCTGTTTATGTGAGGTTATCCATTTCAGATATTAGATCAGTCAGTGCTGTAGAGTTTTGCACACGGTGGACCTTGGTCAACAGTGACCAAGCTGGAACTCAAGCTGTGTGGAAGTTGTCCGTCTCAGCAGCTGCAATTTTATTATTATTATTATTATTATTATTCCTCTCTCCTTTCATCAAAGTTGGTGCATGTTTCAGTTTATCATGACAGAGAGCAGAGGCTTAGCTGGAGGCCTGTGGTGTTCACTGTTGTGAGATTCAAGCAGGGGCTGGGCGGGCCTGGAGTGGCACTGGAAGGATGGAAAGGGAAGCCTGGGTCCGATGCCATGGCTGGATCAGGTTATGTGTATGTGTCATTGCCCTCTCCTGGTTGCTCTGAGATTTTGAATGGCAGAGGAATGTGGGTCTCTGGAGCGGAGGGAGCGGTGGCCGGTGTGTGGTGACGAGCACAGCAGGTGCCTGCTTTGACAGAAGAGCCTTGTTAGCGAGCTGAGAGAAGTGACCTTGCCTCATATAATTGATCACAGGCTTAGAAAGCTGGGAACCACTCCCACCTGTCCTCCCCCTCTCACCCCCTAGCCAGGGCTCAGAGCTTGCTCCTGGTCTTTGTTCTCATTTTCCATCCTGCTCTTCCCAGCTCTGCCGGCTCAGTGAAGATGAGCCTGAGCTAAACCCCTGCACCCTGCAATCACTGGGGGCCCAGAGCTGCCCAGGGCTGCTTGGCACTGGTGCCCATCTTGTTCTACTGCTGCTGCCAGCTCCTGTCTGCAGCCTGTGCCCAGCTTCCCTCCCACACTGCTCTGTAGAGCCTACAGGACAGGCAGAGGAGTACCGAACCCCAGCCCAGCTTGCAGGCCTAGTTGATGTCCTGCTCCCAGCACCTGAATAGCCCCCTAATCAGTGGATCCAGCTGAGCCTCTTTCCAAGCCGGGAGCCACTCCAGCCCATGAATCCCAGAGTCTGGGCCCTTCTCAGCTCCCTGTGCAGCTGACTGCCATGCCTGTCCCCAGCACCCTGGGCTTGCTCTACACTGCTCTGCCTGACCCCTGCGGCTGGCAGGGAGCTTGCTGCAGCAGGGAGGCCTGCACTCTGCCCTTGGAGAGGCCCCTTCTGGCCTCAGACCATGAGCGAAGGTTAATGGCTATTAGAGTCCACAGATTTGGGAGTGGAGATCTCAGCAGAAATCGGCCGGTGCATTCTGCAGATCTCAGCTGATGCTGCAGCTCTTGCTTGTACCAAGCAGCAAAAGCAAAATCTTTCAGGCAGCAGAGAGCAGCTGGCTCTGAACGGTGGTGGGGAGGCACTGTTCCTGCCCCATGACTTATTTTCCCCCTCGCTCTGGCCACGTTACCAGCTTGGCACTCAGAGAATGGAGCTGGAGGGTTCTTGTGGGTTGCTGCTGCCAGGGCAGGGAAGGAGATGCATCAGAGAGAGAGCATGGCTGGTGGGAAGAGCACCTAACTGGGACACCAGAAGCTGGGATATAAATCCCAGCCCCATTCAGGACTTGCACTGAGACCTCTGGGCAGGAAGCCTGTTCTGTGCCTCAGTTTCCCTATAAGATGGGGAAACCGGGGCACAGACATACAGCAGGCCAGTGGCAATGCCATTGCCTAGGTTCATATGACTGCAGCCATCACCTGCAGAGACATCTGCTATGGGGAGCTTGCTCCTTCTGCCCTGGGAGGCCTGGAAAGCCCACCCCCATTTCCCTTTGGGGCAAGGAGAAGCACAAGCACTGCCCCCATTCACCTCCAAGAGTTGGGGATTCCCTGTGCAAGGCTGTCCACCCCTCACAGCAGCCCCAAGGCGAGGGGAAGCCAGGCGGATCTGCCCAGCCGGACCTAGAGGAAATTCCTGGCCAGTCCCTCCCTGCTTAGCAGCTGGGGGCACAGCTGCTCACACATGCAGCTCTGCTTTGTCCTCAGTGCTTGTGTCACACCAGTGGAGAGAGTGGAGCCCTTTTGGTGCCCAGCTCTAACAGCAGGACAGGACGGGAACACGCTGCCCTCCATGACCTTGAAGGGGCTCAGCAGCATTTGCCCAGAGCGGCTGTGCAGAGGGGCAAGTTATGGTAGTTCTTCACCTCCTCCATGCCCTGCCCGGTCTCCATTAACCATGGACACGGCAGCCCAAGCCTGGAGCCATTACTGAGCTGGGAGGAGCTTTGAAACAGACCACATTCCTGCCCAGCCTGGTTGCCCACCCTCAGTTGCAGGCCCCATGGGACCCATGCACAACCCCAACCCCAAGAGGACCCAGAAACCTGCCCCTCTTTGCCCCCCACTGCAGCCACGCGGCTCCCAGGCAGCTCTCGCAGCACCCAGGCAGCTGCTTCTGAGTTGCCAGCAGCCAACTCTGCCAGCACAGCGTGCCTTTCGCCTCCATTTCCTAAAGCGCCGGGCTGGTTCAGGCTCCCCCCACCCCCACCCAGGATGATTCATGCCACGTGCGACACTGCCGGCACAAGGGCTCTGCAGTCAGGGCACAGTTTCACACGGGCAGCGCCAGTCTCAAGCAGGGCGCGCACAGTACCTGCAGGCAGGGGAGCAGCCGGGCACAGGGGAGGGAACATTTACCTTCTCGGCCCTCACTTCTCTGCTACGGGAATTCTCTGCAAAAGCTTCTCTGAAGCTGCTGTGCTCTGGCTGTGTCTGGATATCAGCCGGACTGCAATAGGAACCCAACTTGGCACAAAGATCCTTCCTTCTCCCCCCACCGATTCCAGATGCCAACCCATGCACTCACACTGCTGACCACCACCACCAAGTCCCTAGCACAACTATAGCCCAGTAGCAACCGCCCCACCATCATCACTGGCCCTGGCAGGACCCAAATCCAACGTACAGACCCTGTAGCGAGCATAGTATGGTTGCAAGCCCAGTCGAGAGGGGACAGCAAGTACACTTGGATCACGACCCAAACAAAACAGATGCAGACTCGGTCACGTGCACGCCACAGTCGCAGAACTTGGGGGTGCATTTCAGTAATGATCATGCTTGGTGCCCCTGTAGGTCTGTGATTGCATTTGGCTTGGGGACCTCCTTGATAGCAGCCATTAGGACCTTCAGCAGAACTTGGGGTGTTTGAGGCCTCAGCTTACTGCTGGGGGCTTGACGGGACCAGGCTATCTGTGCTTGTGGGATGCTGCCCTGCGGCATGGTGCAGTGATCTACACCAGCCCTTGCCATGAGCTCTGGTACAGAGCAATGGGCAACACTGCAGGCAGGAGCGGGGGATGGGAGGAGCCCGGAGGCTGAGCTCATTGGGACCCCCGAGCCCATCTAGCCCCAACACCACATCCCACTGATGGCAGCCTGGCAACCCACGCCCAAGTGGATATCACTGGGTCTCAGTCCAGTCTTGCATGGCCAAGCATCCCCACGACAACCCCCATCCCGCGCTGCAACATTTGAGCCTGAACCCTGCCAGAGAGTGCCTGTGCCCAAGGGGCTGCTGGCCGTGCTGCTGCCCAGGCAGAAGGGACACACATTAGCTTGCAGGGCTGTCAAGCAGGAGTCTTTCAGCAGCACTGAACTCAGATCAGCACGAGAAGCCAGATCGCCAGGGGGGAAAAGGGAAGGGAGGAGCACCCTGCACCCCTCGTGCTCACCAACCGTCCCGCACCAGAGGCCAGGGAACCAGTCCCTTCCTGGCAGCCCCATTCAGAGTGGGTTGAATGTGCTGCTCCTGCACAGAGGGGGATAATAAGGAAGGCAGAGGATTGCGTCATCCCAGCACAGCTGCATGATTGTTCCTTGCTGCCTCCTGCACCCAGAGCTGGGGGGAAGGCGGGAGGAGAGCATGAGACACAGCCCGTTCTCACAGGGCCCTGCCTGGAGGGGCAGGAACGCAGGTCACCCCCTGCAAAAAGGGCAGCTGGGCCAGGGGCTGGAGAGGGTCAGAGCTGGCACCGCAAGCCTTTTTATAGCATGCCGGGGTCTACCACCATCCTAGGAAAAGCAGGACCTTGGGAGAGGAACAGGGTGCCTGTCTCCGAGGCGGTGCATACAATATTCAGAGAGAGAGGACACAGCTCAGTCCTAGTGGAAGTTTAACCCACCATACACAAGTGATCAGGCAACAAAGGAACCCCTCTTCCACCCCAGAACCGGATTGAAACAGGCAGCTCCCACCTGGCTGGTCCCCGGTGCAGGGGCATAGCCAGGACCCACCATGCCCAGCCTATCCTGGATGCAACCACAGCCTGGGGTAAAAGTGCATGCAACCCAGGGCAACCCCAAGGCTGCTCTAACCAGTAGCATGGGTTGCACCATCCCCCACAGCCCCAGGACAGGGAAGGGCACATAGCCTGAGCCTGCACCGGGCACCAACGCAGAGACCAGTGAAGGCAGTAGTCTCAGGTCTACGGTGCCCATGACAGTGGAAACACGGTGGAGCCCAAGCTGATTCCCGGAGCAGGGGGACCCTCTGTTTCATGGACAGGAAGGCCATCCTCATCTTGCCTTCGCACTGGCAAAGACCACATTGGTCAGCGTCCCAAAGACCAGGCACCTGGGGGATCGACAACATTGTCCCCCTGGGCACAGCTCTGAGGAAACCCCTTCTGTCCTCTCAAGGCTTGGGGGAGCTATAAAAACCCAGAACTGCCCCCCACCTTCCCCAGACACCCACAGGGAAAGCTTACCTTCAGCCAAAATCTCCAGCCTTCCCAACCAGGGGCCTGTTTCCCTTCGTGCTCCGATGTCCCCGCTGTCCCCTAGGGAAGGGGAGGACACCATGGGGTCTCTTCCAGCCTGCTCAGACCTACCAGATTCTGCAGGCAGCTGAAGGCCCAGGGGAGGCAGTGCCTTGCAAGCGGCCTAAGCTTTGCAAAGCGGGCAAGGAATTGCCCTTTCCCCACTGCACTCTGCCTCCCCAAGCCATCCCGCGAGCCAATGCTGGGCAGTGTGGCTGGCTTCTCACTGTGCTTCCCCCGCCACAGCCCCGGCTTGCTGCCTGGCTCAGCCTTATCTCCCATCAGGGCACTTCTGAAGCACTCAGTCAGCAGTGGACACCTTATCTGTGATTAATAACCTTTCTCAGGAGCGGGCAGCTTTGATGGGTTTTATTATTCTGTCTGGGAGCCTGGGCTGGCAGCACACAGAGCTATCAGGCAAGCTGCAGGGCCGGCAAGGGACAGGACGTTGCCAGGAGGTAGAGGAGGCCGGGGGCACTGGTGTTGGAGACCTCAGCGCAGTGGGTGGCTTTGGGTTTGCTCAGTCTACAAGGCTGCCTCGGGGCCCATGCCTGGAGCCCAGCGCCAGCTGCTCCATGCCTCCCTGTGGACATTGCAAATTGCCCTGCTTGGAAATGCAAGCCCCATCCTCTGATCTCCTAGTCTGTTCAGAGCCTGAGAGAGCCCACGCCATGGGGTCAGAGGTGGGGCAGGTGGGATGTGTGGGGTGGGAATGGCTGGGAGCCTGGACCCAGACCAAGCCCTGCTGGTCCTGGAGTCAGTCTGACCCAGAGCTTGGAGAAGGAGCAGGGGAACCATCCACACAGAGGTTTGTGCAGCATAGCCATAACCACAGGCACCCGTTGGTTGAAGTCATTGGCTCCTGCATCCCATCCAGCTGCAAGGAAGATAGAAGTGGACCTGTAGGGAGTGGATCGGGCTTGGGCAGGGGGCACCATAGCACTGAGCTCCATGCAGCCCCCTGGCCCTTTTCTCTTTCCAGCCCAAATCTCCTCTCCAGCCATGGCTTTGCCCCTCTAATCCAGTCCTCAGGAGTCACCCTGCAGGAACTCCTTCCTCCTCCCAGGGAGCGGGGATACCCGTGTCCCTAGCGTGCCTGAGCAAGGTCCCAGAGGTGCCAAATAACCATAGTAGCTGCTGGACTTAGGGCTGTGAGCTGCAGCAGAATGGATTTCACTCACAGATTTTGCGCCGCTTCCTTAAATTGATGATTTGATTAAAGAGCTGGCAGAGCAGGGACCACCAAGAAAGGGGAAGGAACTGCAGCCCCCGAGGGAAGCTCCCACCAGAAATCCAGACTCCCATGGCCACTGCAGAGATAACTGGTATCACTGGTGGCCAGGTACAGCCGCTGGTCTCCGGCCCCATCCTGCTTCTGAAGGGCGGTCTGTCCTGGTTGGCACCGGTGCCTGGTGGGGAGGTCTAAGCACTGGTTGGCATCAGGGTGCTGCTTTTTTCCCTGGCTCTGGGAGTGAGCGGTCTAGAGGCTTGTACTGTAGACAGGGTGTCAAGGGGTATCTTCTAGTTTTAAGAAAGGAGGCTGCTAGCCAGTACATCTGAGTGCTATTCCTGCACCAGTGACCTCAGTTTCCCCAGGGACCTTGAGGTATGTGTGGGAGTCCTTTCCCGACCCCAGGGTCTCCCCCACCACCACTACCAGTATATCATGCTGCACCCTTGGCTGTGTTGTTCAGCTCCGTTCTCTCACCCTTTCATCATCCAGCACAAGGCAGAGCCCAGCAAAGGCTCTGATCGGTGCCTGCTCCTGTCTCCTTTCTGTTTGCTTTAGTTTGCTCCAGTTCTCTTCCCAGGCTCTCCGCTCCCTTCAGCCTGGCTGGAAAGCAGGAGGCCATCCCTGCACTGCTCACAGATACTGGGGAGACCCATGATAGCCTCCTTCCCAGACACATAGTGGGTAGCTCAAAGCTTGCTGTGAGCCTAGGACTGCGTAGGCTTCAGTGAGAATGGCCCAGGAGCCTGGCCTGCCTATCTCCTCTTCGACGTTTGAAGGAGCTTAGGCTGCTTAGCTCCTCACGGGATAAGGGAGAGCAGTGGAATGACCCTGACATTTCCAGCCATGCATCATAAGAGTCCTAATGCAAGGACTCCTGCAGTCATTGCTACTGGGCACATCTCCTCCCACCTGGAGAGCCCCTCTAGTACATGGCCTGTGCCAGGCATGCTTGTGCCTACAGCCCAGCTTTCTTATAGTGTGGGGCTGCCCTTGAGGGTCACAGGTTCATGGGAGAGTAGGGCTGGAAGGGACCTCAGGAAGTCATTTAGCCCAGCCCCCTGCTCAAGGCAGCATAAACCACCCCAGGGTCCCCGAGCTGGGGCCTGCCACTCCATGCATGAGCTGATGCTGACACTGCACCACCCACGGTGAATTGGGAGTGGCTGAATTTGGGTCAGCACAAGGTTCAGCACGTGGGCTAACACACTTCCCGTGCCCGTGTATAGGTGCCCCGCAAACCAGCCTGGTGTTTCTCCCCGCCGACCTTGTCAACACCCGCTCATCCCATTGTGCAAATTCCCCAGCCCCCACCCAGGTGCAAACACGGCTGCTATGGGGACGCGAGCGTGCCTCAAGCGCCGGCCGCCTTGCCGCAACTTGGCAGTGCTGGGGCTGCGTTCCCCCAAGGCTGAGCTGACGGAGAACGCAGTCGGCAAACTCACATCCGCCTCATGCACACAGCTCATCGGTTCGTATCAAGGCAGCGCCGCATGATCTGCCGCGCCGTCTGTGACCAAATAATGCAAGGGAATTGGAAAGGGAGAGGCCTGGGAGAGCTGCAAGGCCAAGGCAGGTGCTCTCCATTATAAGGCTGTGCTCCTGATGAGGCTCCCCATTAAAAGGCAGCTTTAGTCATAGCCAAAACCACTCCTTCTCCCTGAGCTAATGACAGTGGGGCTAACAACAGGGACCTGCTTTGTAAAGTGGTTTGGGATCTACCGATGAGTGCCGGCAAAAAACCAAGCACCGCTCTTGTCTTTGTCGATGCTGTTATAACACCAAACCTTTAACCCAGCTCCCTGATCAGCCACATCTTCCTTTAATGACGTTTGGTCCGTGTGTGAGCCTCAATCCCCTGTCTACACTAGGGGGATAATAACCCTTCCTCTGTCTTGTCTCTTTACAGCATCGATGCCTTAGTCTCTTACTAAGCACCTCACCTGTTCTGGGCACAGTGCAGATGCAACAACAGGCAGGGCCTCAGTCTCAGCTGCTCCCATAATATAAGCACAAATAGGACAAGGAGCTGCAGGTTTCCTGCACTGGGATTCTCAGCTGGGAGATGGTACAAACAGGGGCAGGAAAGATGGTGAGATATTGCCTGGATGATATAAGGGCTCTTCCACCTGGCTAAGATGCCAAAGCAGGAGTAGCTCTAAAACTTTTCCATCTTGGTAGTGCCTGGTCTGAACCTGGGTGTGCCTCCCATAAATAGAGAAAAGAGGTGCAGGAGGGAGAAGCCTGTCAGCAGTGAGGTTGAAGGAGACCTAGAGGTGAGAGTGGACAGTGTAGCAGACATCTGCTTGTAATACAGCCAAGCACCAAGGCAGCCAGAGCTACTGCGGGCTTGTATCCAGAGACATCCGGGCACAGGACAGCAGGTGCCCCAATAGTTGAGGCTACATCAAGAGAGGTGCATTCAAGGTTTGCACCCCAGTATTAGGCAGGAGTGAGCCAGAGAAGAAGGGCAAATGTGTAAGCATCAGGGCCAGATCCTCAGCCCTGTAAACTGGTGAAGCTCCATTGGTTTACACAGGTCAAAGATCTGACCGTGGGAAGCTAAGTGGGCTAAATTCTTCTCTGATACCGCTCTCACAGGGTTATGCCAGGGAGGAGTTGGCCCAACAGATACAGCTTAGCCAAAGGAGGAACATGAGCATCTCTGGGTACTGGCAATGTGTCAGCACCAAGGAGGAGAGACTTGTTCAGGCATAAAGAGGACATACGAGGAATCAGAGGATGGAGTGGAGACAAGGGGAAAATAGGCTGTGTATTAGGGGAGGAAAAGTAGAGACACCTGTGACTATGTGTCTCCAGTCTTCTTCCCCTAGCACATTTTCCCTGTGTCCCCCAATTTTCCCCTTTCCTACTCTTCTTTGCCTAGTACGCAGCCTGTTGGCTTAGTCGCCCTACAGGGGCTGGGAGCTTGAGCATTCAGGTCCCTGAGAATCAGGTGAAGCAAGAGACTGAGGAAATGACGCTAGAGAAGGCTCTTGCAGTCAGGGCAGAGGGATGGAGAGATGGAACTTGCTTAGGCTACAAGCTCCTGAGGGCTGAGCCCATCTCTTAGCTCGGTGTTTGTGCAGTGCCTTGCACAACTGGCTCCAGGCTGGACATTTCTTCCCATTTTCTTTTTAATTTCATGTCTGGGGCCAAATCAGCTCCGAATTGCATCAACTGAGCAGAGCTCAGTCGTTCAGGTCTGTGCGGCGCTACCGCCGGCAAAGATCCTCCCTCCCAGACTCTTCAGCCTGAGGCTTCAGATACTCCCGAATCCACGGCAAGTGTCCTACGTGCAGGCCGCAAGCCCGAAGGTGTTGGGGTTCAGATGCCCCCTAGTCTCACTTGCCCATAGCCAAAAGGCCAAAGAAGCAAGCGAGGGAGAATCCCATCCTGACCCTATGACGTGTGTCGGCCTGTGTCCTGGTACCAGAGCCCTCCTCTACCTATCTATCCATCCTTAGCCAAGCTGCAGGCAGGCCATGGAGATTCAGCTCAGGTACCTTTGACGGATGCAGCTCAGGCTGTTTAGGAACAGCTCTTGCGGGCAGCTCGGCCTGTCCCACCATTGTTTCTCTGTTTCTATGACTGACTCTTGCCCTCCCTTCCCACGTCTCCTGCTACATTTTCCCTGTTTTCCATCACTCCGTTGCCCGAGGGGCGGATTTTGAGTGCAATGGTTAGGGCTGAAGCCATATTGCCCTTTCTTCCTTCTCCCCCCACCTTCTCTGTCCTTCTCCCTTGCACATGAGCTGTGTTACCAGTGAGACCGCATCTGGCAGCCAGCATACGCTGCGAATTGGGCTGACTGGGGTGCTGCACTGGGAGGAGGGCCCCAGCACTCTGCATGTGCGGATGCTGAAGCAAACAGCGCATAAAATTAACAGTTTGCCAGGCTCTGCTTCCCATTGACATCATGAGGCAAAGGGTGGAAGGAAGGGCAAGGGATGAATCACAAGTCTACTGGGCCCATTCCCCTTGACAACAGTAGCAAAACCCCTATTAGCTTTGACAGGTGCATGCCTGGACCTATAGCTGAGATGCGACAAAACCTGAGGCCTTTCAGCCCAGGTCTTGGCTATTCTGTGCCACAGACCCAGCAATGTGGTAGGACAGCCCACTGGTCAGGGCAGGACCTGGGGACTTGAGAGGCCTGGGTTCAATTCATTACCCTGCCACAGGCTTCCTGTGTGACCTTGGGCATGTTACTCAGAGCCCAGTCCTTAAAGGTACTTAGGTGCCTGGAGATGCAGATGGGTGCCAAGGGGGATAGTCAAGGATGATTTAACTCCCATTGATTTCAAGGTGCTTTTAAACCACCCCCCAGTCACCTTTTGTGCCTTGAGGGGCCTAAATACTATTATAGTCCTGGCCCTTAGTCTCTCTGTGCCTCAGTTGCCCAAGTGAGACCTCATTCTGCCTCATCTAATCAGGTTGTACCTGTCCTGGGGAAGCAGGGATTATCTCTGCATGTATCCAACACCCAACATTTTGGCTGGGAGCTGCTGTGGAAGGATAACAGTTGACAACCCCCACCCAAGCCCCTGTCGGTCTGTCTCTATGGGGGGAGGATCCCTGCTGCTCAGCTCCCCTTTCTGGTTCATTCCTGTCCCGGTGCTGGGGAGAGGTCCTCCATGGACAGTTCCAGGGATGGATGGTGCTACTCTGAGGATCTGGGGCAGCAGCAAGGCAAAGCTTGTGCCCTGCTCAGTGGGGAGCTTCTGCCATGCTGCAGAGGCTGCAAAGAAGGAGCCGAGGTGCGCTGTGCCATGCACAGTCAGTTGCACAAGTGCCAGGGGAACATAGCAGCATTCAATGAGCCCTTTCCACTAGGGTGCTTGGCTGGGGAGGAGCAGGCAGTTTTGTCTCAGCTACCTCCGAACTGGACTGAGATGGAGCTGCTTCACTGGGGGGTTTCTCCAGACTGCTTCCAACAGCGCAGGGGACCTTAGGGGAAGGGCAGGGAGCATCACGGCCCCAGGGGCACATCAGGGCAGGCTGCAGGGCAGCAGCAGCCTCAGCAGAAGGTACTCGCTGCTTGACTTGCTCCGTGGAGAGCCCAGCCCTAAAGATGCAGGGAGGTAGCTGCCAGCTCTGATGCCAGACTGGGGCGAGGGGTGTGGGGTGAAGAAACACTGGGGAAGCCTGACCCTGACCAGACATTGGGCTGGGACGGCCAGTCCTTCTCAGCTCCAGGGGACAGACAGTCGTGGGTTAGGGGGAGCTGTGATTCAGGGCTACCAGGATGATTGCAAGATGCTGTTTTATGACTAAGCTCTGGGAAGCGAGGTGCCTCAAAGCAAAGCGAAGGCGGCTTCTTGGGAGCTTTGGTGTGTGCATCAGGAAATGTGTGGGTGTGTCTGTGTGTCTGTGTGCAAGGGGGGCCTGTGGGGGCACGTGTGTTGGGGTGCCAGGGTGTGTGCGGGAGCATCTGTCTGTGTCAGAGTGAGCACATATATGTGTGTGTGTACGCGCATTGGGGGTGTGCATGAGGGCATCTGTGTATGTGTGTGTGTGCACGCACACGTCGGGTGGGATGGGGTGCAGGACTAGGCAAACAGCAAGAGCCAGGCTGAAACTCAGAACATCCCTAAAGCCACAGCATAACTCAAGGGGAGAGAGGAGGGCAGGCAAGACCCAGCAGCTGTATCACACCTCTCCATGCCTCAGTCTCCAAGCCTTTTCTGCCCCGAATCTCCCTCCTAGCAAAGCTAGCCCCACCAGCCAGCTTCTGGAGGGCGCCTTCCCCAGCCTGCCTTAGCAGCTTGGCTTGGGGTGGATGGAAGGAGCTAAATGGTTCATTGATCTCTGGGTTTCCACAGACACCAGGTTTCCTCCCCCACCGGCCCCTGGGAGGCTGTTGATAAGCCCCAGGGATATATCTGTTCCCTCCCACAGGGACAAAAGCGCAGAAGTTTTGCACAGCGCAGTAGGCTGAGTCAGGCAGAAGCTTCACTCGCCACCAGCCCAGTCACACAGCAAGGGCCCAAGCTCAACACGGCACCTGCTCCGGGGCTGCGCCAAGCCTCGCACGCCAGGGGAGGCTCAACCTCTTGCCCGTCGCACCACTGGCAGAGGGGGAGCAGCGTCAGCAGCTTTGGCTGGGTCCTTGCAGGATTTGAGGCACTGCAGATACCGTGTGGCTGAAGAAAGCGAGCAGGGGCTGTAGGTCAAGGTGCAGGCTGTGGCCCAGCTGGCACCGGGATGCTGTGGTTCATGAGCCAATGCAGCGGTCACAGAGTGCTGGCCCAGGCAGGCTGGCAGGTTTTGCTAAGCCAGGGCTTGGGGGACAGAGCTGAGCTGCAGGGTGGTTGCAGAGTGGTTCATGGGCTCCAGACCAGACTAGCAGCGGGCACTCAGGGTCAGCTGTGAGCATCAGCGGAGCTCCTTGAGGGGCTGGGATCGAAATGGCAGCGCACAGGGCTGGTCAGGATTGCAGTGTGCAGGCAGCATGGTCTGGAGGCCACTGGCTGAAATACCAGAGGGTGCAGGAAAATGAGCTGTGTGGGGAGCTCAACCAGGCATCCTAGTACACACGG